CCACGAACTCGAAGTCGAACTGTGGAGGGAAAACAGCACGTCCGTTTGCATCATCCTCCCACCTCAGTTTGATCTGAGGACGGAAGTCTGCTGACATGCTCTCACCATCTTCCTCCACTCCTCCTTCTTGCTCTCCGAAGGTGATCTTCGTAATATCCACTTCGGGATATTCTGCCTTCACCTTCTTCCTGCAGTCCGTGAACGCGATGATGGCAGTAGGCAGCCGGTATAGGTTGACGATGTTGTCAAATGAGCTGGAGCTGATGAAGTTGCTGATGTGCTCCTTCATCCCATTGTGCACCAAGGTCTGCACATTCCCCTTCAGCTCCAAGAAAGCCTCCTTCGTCAACTTTAGTTCTTGCGCCTGAGCCTCACGCTCGCTTTCAGAGATCTTTCGTTTGCTCTCTTCAAAGCCGAGCTTGGTACTCAGGGAAGACCTCTCCTGTTCCAACTGCTTCACAGTTGGAACCACCTCGTCGAGCGACTCTTGCAGATCTTTATTTTTCTTCTCCAGCTCCTCCTTCTCCTTCTGCAGCTGGTCACACTGCCTCTGCAAGAGTGCGCGCTCCTTTATACTCTCCCTGAACTCCTGGGCTAGACCATTCACCCAGCTCGCGCTCTGCAAATCAAAGCAGAAGTTCAAAGAGAAAGAAGAGAATAAGAAACAGAATAAATAAACAGCAGCACTAATTTAACATACCTCAAGAACATGCTTCACAACAGATGCTCCCCCGTACCTCAGAGCTTCCTCCCGCGCGTTGCGCTTATCAACTTCGGGGAAGGTGCTGTTGATGAACCACCTAGCCCCCATTATGTTCTTCGCCTCGAACAGGCTGCTCTGAGGCACCACCGGGGAAACAGGGCCCTTTCCTTTACCAGGAGCCCGTACCTCAGCCCCTTCCTCCAACCGTCTGAGCTCAGGGTTTAGCTCAACAGGAGGAGGCTGAGGTACGAACTCAGGAACCCCATTCTCCTCCTCCTCCTCCACCACCTTCTGCTTCTTCTGCAGTGCCCTCCTCTCCTCCCAACCCTTCCTCTTCAACGCTGGCACCTCCTCCTCCGTCTCAGCTGAAGCCAAGGGCACTACCTCCTTCCCAGTCCTCCCCTCATCCACTTTCTTGGTTGAAGTCTTTGACTTCTTCCTTGGCTTCTTGGGGATGGGCGCTCCTCCAACAGTGTTTAAAAACTGGTCCATTTCAGCTGCAAAGCAAGAAACACAATATTAGTCACAATTTTATATTCTACATTTAACGCTACAGTGCATGTTAAACAAACCTTCACTCAGAGCGCTTGGCCCATAGAGCTCAGCAGCTTCTATGCATGCTGCGCTGGTGAGGTCCATGATATTCAATACATCTCCCCCCTTCCTCACAAACTTCCTCACTTCTTCCTCCTCATCCTCATTTAAGCTAAACCTATTCTGGTTAGCCTTTTTGGCCTTCCAGGAAGCTAACGCCCTCACCTCGGCATCCCCCTTCCCCCACTCCGTATCATCCACAAAAAAGAATTTTTCCTTCCATCCCTTAATGGATGAAGGACCCGCAGTAAATAAAATCCTGCTCTCCTTCTTAGCTACCCTAGGGGTGAAATAATACCACCCCTTATCCCTCCTACTTCCCCCCTTCAAAACGAAAAAATACTTAAACATATTTACAGTTGGCACACTAATCCCCTTAACTCGGCAATAAACTAAAAAGCCTATTATTACCCTCATTGCGTTGGGGACCAACTGTGTCAACCATATATTGTAATCTAACAATAAACCTATTAGCAACTCAGGAAGTGGAAACCTGAGTCCCGCTATCAAATAGTGGGAATACACAGGCATCCAGTGATCCCGAGGAGCAGAGCACGCCCTCTCCTCTACCTTAGCTAGCCTAACTAACACTCAGGAAGAGATCTCGTAATTCTCTACCAAGTGACCCAGGCTATCCCTGGTCCTTAGCTCAGACCTGTACTGCTTCACCTCCTCCACTATCTCCGCATTCACATCATACTCTCCCTCTCCTCTACCCTCTACTTCTACTACGGTAATGGGTATGCTATCTCCCCCAACCTCCACCACCTCATTTCCTCTCACCCCTTCGACCGTCTTCTCCGAACTAGATGGAGACGGACTACTCTCTAAGTCCATGCTCCTATAGTCCAGGGGCATCACCTCACTCCCTACTACACTTCCTGTCCCTTCTGAAGACATTTTCTCAAACTCTGCACGAAGTAGGGGGGAGGAATGAAGTCAGGACCCATTTTAAAAAAAAAAAAAAACCCCTCTTTTACACATTCAAAACCCTTCTCATCTCTAACCCTAACTTCCTTCAAAGGACTCTAAATCAATCACAGAAAGGGAGAAAGGAGAAAGACACTTCGATTAACTTAAACTCAGAGTTTCGTCTACATTACCTGATTTCGGTTTCGAAAGACTTGATTTAGAGTTCCCCAGTTGATACTGCAGTTCACGCACAGGAAACGCACAGTAAAGCTTCTCACAGAAGTTTTGCAGGAAAAGAAATGCAAGTAAACCTCTTTCTGCAGAAAAAATGTCTATTTATACTTCTGGGCAAAGTTAGATCTCAACGGTTGAGATTCGTTTAATCTTATGGTTCCTGTTGACACCGTTTGGAATTCGATGGACAATCCCAAACGGTACCGTTTGGAACTTGACAGTTCGTTTTTAAATTCGCCCGTTTAACTGTCGCAGTTATCTTTTTACGGCCGCATTTATTGCGCACGTCATTCCAAGGACAACTGTCACACCACATGTTACCCCTTTGTCAGATTTTTCAGAACAAACCCACTCACGACCATTTCAACACCTTTGTTTACTTTTCTCAATTTTGTCAAGTGTTTCACTTCGACTCTGGCCACAATAATGCTGCATTACATTTCACATCGACTTCGGCCAGAGTAATCCTGTATTACACATTTTATTTCAGCTCCGGCCATTATGACCCCGGTCATTATATTTTATTATGGCTCCGGCCATTCTGACTCCCATTTTTATACTTAAAGCCTAGCTCAGCACTTCTGCTTACTTATACAATTACACTTTTTTAACTGGCATAGTGTTTTACTTCGGCTCCGGCTCTGGCCACAGAGACATGTTTTACTTCGGTTCTGGTTACTGTGACAATATGTCACATACCCTATTACGGTTCCGGCCATTATGACTCCGGTCATCGTATTTTATTATGGCTTCGGCCTTTATGACTCCGGTCATCGTATTTACTACGGCTCCGACCTTTATGACTCTGGTCATCGTATTTATTACGGCTCCGGCCATTATAACTCCGGTAATCATATTTTATTACCACCCTGGCCTCTATGACTCCAGTCATCATTTTTTACCATGATCTCGGTTACACTATGACTTTGATAATCACTTTTTCCTATGGTTACAGCCACGAAGACCCGGTCATCATCTTTTACTATGACTATGACCACGTTAACTCCGGTCATTATTTTTACTACGGCCACGGCCATAACCACTTCGGTTATATTTTATTTAAGACACCCCTAGTGTGATCCGCTGTTGCATATTTCATTATTAGCTACGGCTATGTTTACATTTAAGTTACGGATTTTATTTCTTCCTTTTACTCCCATGACTTATCCATATTCTCTTTGTTCATACACTCCCCTCATTATACCCAACAACATCATTCACAAGTGAATGACTTCGGGGGGGAATAGTGTAAGGACAGGTCCAGGGTGCCAAGCCTCGGACTGCTACAGTAATTCCTTTATGACCGAAGTGAGGAATAAATCCAAAGCTTCCCGCTCAAATAGCTGCATGACAATGACAATAAGCATGCCCGCACCTGATTCCTTATGATGAGTGGCACAGCAAGTATGGTGGACGCTCGTGCATCTAAATACCTCTCAAATTCCCGGTCCCGGAATAATCGTCTGGATGGACACGTCAGGCTCCGATTATCTTGCTTGGCATGACACGTGGGTTCCTCATTGGATCCTATAAATACCCCTCGGGCCACGTCAAAAAGGGAATTGAAACCAACCTTAAGCTCTTTTTATCTCCGCCAAAAAGGTAGCCCCGATTATTGCTGACTTAAGCATCGAAGTGTCTACCCCGAGTTCCACCTCGGGGCTTTGTAGGTCATCCCGGAGTGCAAGCGCGGACTGAAGAAGGACTTCTGGTTTGGTGCAATTACAGCTGGTCAGATCCAGTTGCTTTTTTCCCTGTTTTCTATTTTATTTTATTTTATTTTATTTTATTTTTTTAGTTTTGGTTGTGTATTGATGAAGGCCCTTTTTTTAACTTCTTTTTTCCTGTTAATGCAGCTCCTTATTACTTCTTAGAGCATGTCTGTACGTTTCATGTTCCCAATGCAGGTTTTGAAAAAAATCTTATCTATTCAGTATCTATTTAGTAATCTGTTATTGATAGGTGTTTAGGTCTTTGTTGATGAAGATTGGTTTTTGCCTTTTTCCTTTGTTAATGCAGTTTTCGATGAGCTTTTTTAGAATATTGCCGCTTTTGCATATTTCTTATGGTGCGTTTGAATGAGTTTTTCCTTGCTTTTATGTATTTAGCAATCTCTCTTTGATGATAGTCGCAAAAAAGGAGTTGAGAACTTTGCTGCTGATTTTACCTTATGTAAGATCGTGGAATACCCTTCGTATTAACTAGTCGTTTGTTTCTCTCTTTATATTGTTTTTCTGTTAGCTTTTTTTTCCACTTTTATTTAACTGTTTTTCCAATTGTTTATTGTTTCTGTTTTGTTTTTGTGGTAGTCATTTTGGACTTCTGTGGTTTAGTTTATTGAATTGCTATGTTTTCATGCTCATGGTATTTATTTATTTTCATTTTATCACTGAGATTGTTACTGCCTTTGCTAAAAGAAAAAAAAAAAAAACCTTTTTTTCCCACTTTTTGTGGTTGACAGGTTGGTGAATAGAAATGCTTCTGCTCGGCCTTCGTTGCCGAATCGCAAAAGTTGAAATAGGTTTGGTATGTGATCTTTTGTAGCCACTGGAGATGAATTTGTTGGTGTTGATCATACTTTAGAGATGGGCGATATCATGGTTGAAACTATGAGTTTGAACTTGAGATTTAGTACAGGTAGGCTCCCTGTTAGAGAGTATTGTATACTGTATTTG